CCAGGGAGCTCTTCAGGCTCCCCAAGTCGGGGAGATCATGACCGCTCCCATTGGGACACACAAGCAGGCTTCCCGGGGGTTGTGGTCTGTCCCATTCGGCCTTTCTGGCAAAGCTGAACCGACCAGGGAGCATGGGGGGAGGAGCCAGCACAGGGGTGGGGCCAGCACAGCGAGGGAGGGGCCAGCACAGCGAGGGAGGGGCTAGCAGCCCAGGACCAAGCGGCTGCAATTTCAGAGGCTGGAGGCCGCCTGGCTTTGGAACTGTGAGCTGGAGAGGCAGCTCCCGGGCAGGCACCCTGAGCAGGCTCTGACAGCTGCCTCCCTGTGTCCACTCTCGTCCTCCTCCTCCTTCCAAGAAGAGCCCCAATCCGGGAAGAGAGGAAGTATGCCTGGTTAAGATAAAGCTATTTTCCCCAGCCTCCTTCAAAAACATGAACAGAAGACAGTAGTTAAGAGCATGACGTTGGAGCCAGATCCTGGGTCAAAGTCCCAGCCTTGCCTCCCACCAGCCACGTGATGCAGAGCAACGTGGCTCACAGGCCTGGACAACCTGCTTAGCTTCTTTGATAGGCTGCAACCACCTTCACAGATGTATTTTGAGAATTAAATGAATTATACATTCACTGTGTGTTGCACACACAGGCAGTCACTGCATATTAACTATTTTATTACCACGTTATTCTTAATTTCTGGCCCTTGATGGTGGCACTTCCAGGAAGATCCTTAGAAAGGGGCCACTCCACCAGCAGGTTTCTTTCCCCTTCCTGCTTCTTCCTGCTTAAATTCTAACAAGATGACAGAGGTGTCACCATGAAGTGACAGTGAGGACAGAATACATGTTAAGACTCTCGTGTTCACAGTCACATTATTCACAGTAAGCCAAAAGGTAGGAGCAAATTCAGAATCTGTGGATGGATGAATGGAGAAACAAAAGAATATATTCCACACATACAGTAGAATATTATTCAGCCTTGAAAAGGAAGGACATTCTGACACAGGTTATAATGTCTGAACCTTGAGGACATTAGGCTAAGTGAAATAAGACAGTCACAAAAAGATGAACACTGGTTGAATCCATCTATATGAAATACCTGGAGTCGTCAAGTTCAGAAAGGTGGGGAGTCAG